TTTTCCTTTCAATTTTCGGGGGGTTGACCAATGATTTTTTTAGAAATATTCACCAGAAGCAGACCATCGCCTAAAATGAAGAAAATATCCCTGTCCAGAAAAATAGCCATTTTAAAAAACCATCCCTCTTCAAAATGGTTCAAATAGTGCCACTTTCAAACCCGATTGCATCCAAATTGCTCAGAATTAGACGCCCTGAGTCCGGCCCAGAGGTTCAGTTTCATATTTCTTCAATTCCCCAGTTCCATGGCTCTCAGGACGTTCTAATATAGAATATTTTGAGTGTACAACTTTTATTAATGAGCTCTACGGACATATTTCTGGCCTAAATACAAGGGTGCACCCCTCTACAATGCACTGGGCGCTCTAAGCTTCTGGACACGAGAATGATATAAATCATCAAGTGCTGGAACTAGTTGACATCCAATGATATTTTACTTGCAGTGCAAACGATCCGCTGTGAGCTTTTTGTCATAACCTACACCATTGCCCGACCACACATATGATTCACTGTGTCAAGACTCCCCCAATTACCGTCTGGTAGAACTTCAGTAGCAGTCTCTGGCTAACATGGAAACTCGTCAACCGTCTCAAAAAGAACAATCTTTGTTGAGGCTTTGTAACAATACCATCCTAATAATACAATCTCATTTCAAATCTGCTGAAATATCAATAACAACATGAAATGTTACATTCTTTCAAGCTGAGCCATTTGTAACAGGGACGTAGTCAGGTCGGTCTGAAGGGGGGCTTCCAAGCCGTGAATGCGTGTACATGCAAAGCGCAGAACCTCACTGGATACGTACGTAGGCCTACTTCGCCAAAAGGTTAACCATAGTCGAAACTTTTGAGGGGTTGTGGGCAATGGGGACCCGGCTACGCCCCCATGTAACTAAGGGAACGATACTAGAATGGGTTTTCCAAAAGTTGCATGCAGATGACGGACTAGTAATTTCATGATGTCAAGTCATTGTCTCAAACTGTTCGCCTCGTAAGATGATCAAATCAACAAATCTGGAATCTAAAGATTACAATGGAAGTTTCAACGATGGATTGACCACACGAACAGCACACCTTGTCTATCGGGTTACTGCGAAAGTGCAACAAAATTGGCTCAGTGAAATATTATTTTGTGACATTTAAAGCCCTTTTCAATACTAATTCAGTAAAAATTCACGCCCAACCCCCCATAATAACAATGCATGTATAGAGTGGAGTGAATATAGGTTTCATGGCTCTTCCAACCAAAAAACCTGAGACCTGCGAGGCGTTAAGGAAATGACAAAAGCAGTCCTTGTGTGGCATATTCACGTGAATACACCCTGTAGTTGAATAATAAATTCTTTGCTTATGCAGTTGGCGCAGAAATCGTGACTCTCCGGGTAGGCCTATGTGTATTATTTCCCTGGTTAGCGGACCCACTTGAATTTGTGCTCAACTACCCAGGCTGTTCTTTGTTTCGCCGTGTCCTCTTGGGTTATCTCTCTGCAATATTTACTTGTGTAGATAGGCCTACTGATTCAACCTGGTGTTTGTATTTACATAATGTGGGAATTCTATTGACGTAATCTGACGTAATACGTACCGGTACAACTTGGTTTATCTCCAATGAAAAAGATGGATTATAGTGGACTTTCAGTCATTTTGTAGTTCTGAC